GCTGGGGGGAGACAGCTCTTCAAAAACTCATAATTTGCAAATGCCAAAAGAGACTTTGGTTTCTTCAGGAAGTCAGATAGTGTGACTGATAGGTCACATAACTGTCTGTTGAGGAAGAGATTTGGTTATATTTGGCAGTTTGCTTATACATCAGATTACCTAAGAAAAAAATTGAAGCAGTAAATGAAGTTTCCTGCAGAACCCCTCCATGCAGTCTTAGTGTGGGCAGAAACTGACTGTTTTATGTCCCAGAATAACCACTCCTGAAGCATTGCTGAGGAGATTAGAAGGTACAGCTGCCATTCTTTAGACTGTCTGGATGCTGAAGTATTAAAAATATGACTTGTCCTGCAGAATGATCACAACGATCATGTGATTTACTGATGAGAGACAATCTGTGTGTCTGAGTAGTGTCATTTACAGAGTTCTTTGTTCAGCTCCCCTCTTCCAATCGCAAATCAGGAATTCAAAATGATTGCGAGTCTCTGTGCGCAATTCTGTACCCACCACTGAGTGTATATATAAATAGAGGATAATAGGGAAAAGCTGCTGTAGTGAGCAATGCGATCCTTCCAGTTGTTCCATACACTCTTCCTTTTTCAGGGATCTGAGATGAGCTTCTGCTTTTCACATAACTTTTAGCTGCTATGATGCATGATGATGAGTCTCATGCTGTGGAAAACAGAACTCTGTTCTATGTGTCAGTATCTCAACATGAGCTCCTACTGTAACAGCCTAGTTAGGAGCCTACTAAATATACTGTAACTGGACTAGTCTCAGGAGGGCAGTGTGCATACAAAGGGAGTGCCTGTTTTTAGAAACACAATAAATTGGCCCTTACGAATTTTCCTATGACAATTGTCTCTGACCTACTTACTGCTCTTTGCTTAATATGTAACAGAACTCGTGCCTGTCAGTGACTATTCACAGCCAGTACTTGGGTTTCTGTAGTGCAGATACTTTAAACGGAATGTGGAATGACATAGCTTGACAGAGGTTAACCACATGCGCATTGGATGAGGATTCAGATCCAAATTCTTTTCCCAAGAGTTGAGTGGGTGAGGGATGGAAGGTTATTCCAAGAGTATATTTCAGATATGGAGGAGCTTTTCTTGAGCTAGGTCTGTAATATATTAGGCACAAGCGTTCTTTCCTTGAACATCGAGTAGTGCTTTCTAAGCCAGACTAATGCTTTACTGTCAGTTCATTGCCTCTAGCAAGCCTCTTGGCGGAGTCACTTCCAACAGTTCTGCTCCCTAAAATGGGGAAAGGAGGTGAAAGCTGTTTTGCTATGCTATAGTCCTGTTCTATTAATTATATACCACTAGAAATGTACAGTGGTTCAGAGACAAAAGACAAGATTACAGTGCTTTACAAAGTAAGTACAGGATGGTCTTGTCTGTGTCTGCTCTGGTACACAGTTGTATGTGCTGACTTGTGAAACCTGTTGTATGGACTGGTACAGCCTAGCCTGCTTTTCAAACTGGGGTATGCTGCGCTGGTGCAAATGGCTGCTTACTGTGATGCATTGACTGCAGTAAGGGTTTGCACCCGAGCAAGGCAACGCTGATGCTGGTGGGCAGAGGGAAGTACTTTGAAGAGTATGCAGCCATGATGCTAGCCGTCGCCATTGGTTGAAGATAAACTCTCACTGCTGGTCAGTTCAGTACACTGTCTAGGAATACGCTTGGAGTCCTCAGTGATCATAGAATACTAGCACTGGAAGGGACCTCGAGAGCTCATCGAGTCCAGTCCCCTGCACCCATGGCAGGACCAAATACTGTCTAGACCATCCCTGACAGACATTTATCTAACCTACTCTTAAATATCTCCAGAGATGGGGATTCCACAACCTCCCTGGGCAATTTATTCTAGTCTTTCAGTACCCTGACAGTTAGGAACTTTTCCTAATGTCCAACCTAAACCTCCCGTGCTGCAGTTTAAGCCCATTGCTTCTTGTTCTATCCTCAGAGGCCAAGATGAACAAGTTTTCTCCCTCCTCGTTATGACACCCTTTTAGATACCTGAAAAAGGCTATCATGTCCCCCCTCATTCTTCTCTTTTCTAAACTAAACAAACCCAATTCTTTCAGCCATCCTTCATATGTCATGTTCTCTAGATCTTTAATCATTCTTGTTGCTCTTCTCTGGACCCTCTCCAATTTCTCCACGTCTTTCTTGAAGTGCAGTGCCCAGAACTGGACACAATACTCCAACTGAGGCCTAACCAGCAGAGAGTAGAGCGGAAGAATGACTTCTCATGTCTGGCTCACAACACACCTGTTAATGCATCCCAGAATCATGTTTGCTTTTTTTGCAACAGTATCACACTGCTGACTCATATTCAGCTTGTGATCCTCTATAACCCCTAGTTCTTCTTCGGGTAGTCCCCGTGGGTGCTCCACGTCTGGTGTCGGGCTGGTCCCGGCGCCACGAATCGGAGCTTGCCCTAGCTGTAGCCGACCGGGTCGCGCATGCGCGAGCAGCGTTCGCGCCTTTGAACAGCCGCGCGCGACCCGGTCTCCGCCAGTTCCTCTCACCGCCATCTGAAAAAGATAATAAAGAAGATTCCGTAGCGGGGAGGAGGGCGGGTGATGAAGATGGGATCAGAGCCGATCCCAAAACAGACCCCTGCGGAACCCCACTTGTTACACCTTTCCAGAAGGATTGTGAACCATTAATAACTGCTCTCTAAGTATGGTTATCCAGCCAATTATGCACCCACCTTATAGTAGCCCCATCTAAGCTGTATGTGCCTAGTTAACTGATAAGAATATCATGTGAGACCGTATCAAACGCCTTACTAAAGTCTAGGTATACCACATCCACCGCTTCTCCCTTATCCACAAGACTCGTTATCCTATCAAAAAAGCTATCAGATTGGTTTGACATGATTTATTCTTTACAAATCCATGCTGGCTGTTCCCTGTCACCTTGCCACCTTCCAAGTGTTTACAGATGATTTCCTTAATTACTTGCTCCATTATCTTCCCTGGCACAGAAGTTAAACTAACTGGTCTGTAGTT